TATCTGCGCTCACCATCGCTTTGTTACCCCCCCCCCCGACTAACGGGCGCCACAATGGCTGCTGTCTATCTACAGGCGCCTCAAAATGGTTGTATGTCGCCCATTAACGATGGATGCTTGTTCATAAAAATGACACTAAAAAAATCTTGTAACTGTTACAAGAATGACACCTTGCGAGAAAATATCTGAATATTGCGATAAAAGGAAAAAAACCCACATCATGCATCTCGCATGTACAACATCTTGAACCCATGCAACATAAATGACTGTTAAAAAAAACAACCAAAAAAAACGGTACTACGATCATGGCGCTGCAATACTACATGGGAATTCGAGCCCTGCTGCGAATGATGACATTCTGCAAACGAATAGAATAGATCATAAAGCAACTCCGCAATGCATCTAGCATGTGCACAATCACCAGCCCATGTTACATAAGTAACAGTATTGAGTCATTAAAATGACTCAACACCACCAAACCACTTTCACATCGGGCTCATTAACATTCGCTGGCATACGAGCCCGAATAACGTACGAGTGGCTGTCGTAGGCTACAGGTAGACGATAACGGAAAGGCTCGCTCTGCCAGAAAAACAGTAGAATGCAAATTATACGTACTTCATTTTCATCTTCACCAACGGCATATTTCAGAAAGGTTTTTTTTTTTTTTTTTTTTTGCACGTCGGGTTTGAAATCTAAGGCCAGCAGTCTCACTGACTACAGGGGGCACCGCTCCGTCTTGGCAGTTTTATTTTCACAGCCTCAAGTTGCGAAAATCACACCGAACCATCAGTCCACACTCGGCCTTTTAACACCGGAATGCCCTCACACCTCCTCTCGGCCGTTGCTCACTCACTCGTGCGAGTGTCGCGTCAGTGTACTTTTAGCCGCGGCGCCGTGTGGCAACGGTACGACATCGGCATGATTTCAGCGTTTTGACTTTTGGGTGAGATTTGTTTTGAAGCCGACTTTAAGTACGACGCAATCAAGAACTTCGGATAAACGCACAAATGGACCGCTTGCCATAAACGAACAAAGGCCCTTCTAGTTCTTGAGTGGTGGGGGCAGGGGTGACTCATACTGGACTACGAAGTGAGTCACGTGATGTGGGAAAAAAAAAAAAGTCAGAATCAAACTTTTTCTTTCGGTAGATTTGTCATGTAAATATATATCATTGAACTTACTATCCTGTGGATCTTGAAAATGTCAAAACGGTGGCAGTGAGTGAGTATTCAGATCCATTTAATGACGCCTAGCTTGTATCTTAGCTCCCTTCATTTTCATTTTCCCACAGGTTGCCCAACACGCTGAAAACTTCTATGACGAATACCATTTTTCTTCCTTTGAGCCTCGGCAAAGCTGAATTTTATTAAACCTGAATCAGGTCTGTGCGACTTTTATGAGCCCTCCGGGATAAGGATGAGTAAGAGGTACAGGACATGTTGTACCTTACTGGTACCGACTGGTTCTCTGCGTCTTGGCGCCTGTTACCGGCCTCACGCGGGCATATGGCGGAGTCAGCAAAGAGCTTTCCGTGTGCGTGTGTCCCGGAGTGAGGAGGAGGCGGTAGGAAAAGACAACAGGCCGATTTTGACACAAACGCGCCGGCGAAGCGCCCGTCCATCTGTGCGCTCCGCTCGTCACAAGACAAACGTGTTGGGGGCGGGGGGGGGGAGGAACTGGCTCGGTTTGCCGACGCTTTATGTGTCACAAGCGATGACTCACAACCCGCCGCCTCCCCTGAGCTTTGCAAACGCTCACACCAGGCACGCACAACGGGCCGGCGCGCACGCACCTCATCCTCGCTCCCGCGCCTTTCGTCTGCTGACCGTGAAGAATTTGTGCGGGCAGCCTTACTCATGCATATTTACACACACGCACAGGCGCGCGCGCGCACGCACTCTCTCACCTACTCAGCAGGCACTCTTTAAAGGTTATTGTGTGCCAGCGTTGAGCGCGCGTGTGTCATTTGGTCTCCCCGCTTCATGTACACGTTTAAAGGTCACCTCGCTGACCACTTGACTACGCCGCGCGCAGATTGATGTGGAGAACCCTCCACCAACGAGCGCTATTAGCCGGACAAACGGGCTCGAGAGGTAGCACGCAAAATTAATCACGATAAACAAGCCAATTACACGCAAGGCGCTGTTGGAGACGCTCCAAGTCGCCGCTCCAATGGCCGCTTGACCCCGGAAGACTTTGCGGACGATTCCCCGGGCAGACAGACGGACAAGTAAAGGCCGCTGCTTCGCAATCAGTCAACCAAAACGCAAACCATGAAATGTGAACAAGCTGGCATTATTTTGTGTTAGATTAAGGGAAAAAAAAAAGCAGCGCCATTTGTATGCTCAAGAAATAAAATGCATAAATGCACTAAAAATAATCTTAAACACAAATAAGCAGTCGCTTTGGAGTTTTGGATTGCCAATAGAAAATGCAAAGAAGAAACGATGCGCGGATTCTCGATGCTTTGCGAAATGAAACGAAAAATCCACTTAGGCTGCCTCTCTGTCGTGCGAGCGTTTTCACGCCCTCACTCAAAGTGGTGTGTTTTTTTCCCGCGGCGGAAAGATAGCAGTGTTTTATACGTAGGATGGGAAAGGTCTGGGACACGCCATCAGGGCCGTCATCCCCCGGGGCCAAAGGAGCGACGCCCCGCAGGGCAGACGGCAGCATTGCTGCGCCTTTGCAGATACCGCCGGTCGCCGCACATCACAGGGAGGCGAGCCGGCTGGCTTTATCACTGCCGCGGTTCCCCCGCCTTTTCTTCAATTCCTCCCGCTCGCAGACACACGTGCCGTATATCTTTCAAAGACACTCAGCCGCCCCCCCTCAAACAAAGTCATTTGGGCTTTGCGGGCTCCTCAGAAAGCCTCTTCACGCCCAGCTAACCTAGGCGAGGCTCCGTCGGCACCGTTTTACGACCTTGGCGTCGCACAGACACGGCCGTGTGTGTTCGGTCGCAGATAGAGCAGGGGGAGGAGGCTCCGGAACCCCGCAGAAAAGTTCTACTCCACCAAACAAGAAACTGGTCTGATCTAGTTTGCCACGTTACACAACAGGGATGGGACCAGCATAAAAGCAGGTAGCGTTCTATACGCCCGACACGGCACAATACGCCATTACGGACCGCGTTTGGCATTTAGGCAAAACAAAAACACGACTTTTATACAGTTGCTGGCTTGCCCTAAATAATTGGAGTAATCGATTTAGTTTCGATTAGTTTTTTTTTTTAATTGTCTTTTATATTGGTTTTTCTTTTCACTAACTAAAATAACCCTGGTTCAAGTATTTCAAAATGCGGAGGAGGATGAAGGAATTTCGCTTTCAGTGGCGCTCTCTTCTCGAGGACTCGGCGGCACACGACTCACGCACAGTCGGCAATCCAAAAACCAGGAAAAAAAAAGCTTTTGAATCGTGACTCTGTGATTGCTGATTACGGGCGTCATTTGCGCGGCATTCAAGCTATTTCAGTCCTCCAGTTCTTTCATCGAACCGGGCGTTTCGTATCGGAGACGTGGCAACCGTCATCACGTTGGCCTGTCCAATCAAAGGTCGCAGTGGGACGGGGGAGGTCATGTGGGCCAATCAGCGCATTCATCAGAGTCATGCGGCGCGGCACCTACCGTTTGGAACGGCGCCCGTCGGGTCGGCGCTCCCAATCATTCGCACGCATATGGGCAACTTCACACATGCACGCTATGCGCACGCGCATGCACCAGCAGCTTACCTGCATGTTCAAATATTAATACCACTAAAGCGATGAGCTGGAAAGTTTCAACCAGTGGTGGGCAAACTTTGCTGCTCAAGGGCAACGTTGGATTACGACATCTGATTGGCAGATTAGGTTTCAAATGAAGAAATAAAGAAATACATTTGAGTCTAAAAGGTGTAAATTCAATAATGGTAACAGTCAAATCATTCATTTGAATTCTTTTATGTTCACTGTTTAATTATAATTCATTGGTTACTAATTATTAAAAGTAAAATATGAAACATGCAAAAAAAAAAAAAAATGTTTTACTTATTCCATTATTATACGCAACAGGCTGAATGCCCACCCCTGTTGATGGTATAAGTGCATTGCATGGCAAAACCACTGAGGGCCACAAAAAGGAAAATCAGTGAAATACCTCGCAGCTTTCCTAAATTCACACAGTGAGCAGTCCAAAGACAGCACAGGGAAGGGGAAAAAAATGCAAACATTTGGCATTGTGAGTCAGCGGCACTTGTTTTTGGGCCGCGTTCAAAAAAAAAGGGGGGGGGGGGGGGAAAAAACAGACTAACTCGGAATTGCTTTCATATACTGCAGGAACATCTGCTCGGAGAGACATGACACCCGCCCCCAGAACCCCAACACCAGTGTATGGGCATCATGGAAGGCGATGAAAAGGCGGCAAAAACACGGGGATGAATGCCCGTACCGGGAGAATTGCCACATTTGTCCACGTACACATGCACGCACACACACATGATGACGACTGCAGAGGTGGAAGCATAAAGGCCCAAAAAAAAAACCCAAAAGCATCTGAGGCAGCCAAGCAATGCAAAGGCGCTCCCGTGTCACTGAACGAGGTACAAGGCGACCAGGTGACGCACTGCTGTACCTAATTAAGTGAGCTGGCCAGAAGTTGCGTCCCCCCCCCCCCCCCCCCCCCCGCCTCTGAAATCATCTTGAAAAGCCGCATTTATGAGTTCCAGCGCCAACGCTCAACTCATCCATTTGGGCTTCAATTAAAAAGCCAATAATCGTTTCCACGGAGAAGGCAGCGGAGGAAAAACCTCGATTACAGGAAAGAACTGACCTTGGTTCCGCGCCTAGAGAGACAACTTCCTCCCTGCGCCATGTGGTGATGAAGATGGAGATGGCTGGGTAAAGGGTGGGGGGTGGGCTCATATGTAGGTGTAGGTGTGTGTGTGTGTGTGTGGGAAGGTTGGAGGTGGAGGTGGCTGGTATGTCGCAGAGTAACAAGAGGAAGTGAAATAAAAAGAGCCCATACCTTGGTCGCCAATCATCAGGTGTGCCAGACCTTAAAGGAAGACAAGAGCACAGTCAGCACAGCAAAGGATCATGGGGGGCGTCAAGTGTGCCGTGCGGCACGCTAAATTAGACGTGTGCGTCGAAACAACTACAACTACAAAGATCTCGCTGAGGCGTCCACACTTACTCGTCCCGGTGCAGCAACAGAGCCGACTGCTAACGGGATACTTGGCACTAAGTGCGCGTCTAACAACATGTCACCTTGAAACAGAGAAACGCGGCACTTACCGGCTCGGCTTTAAGCCTTTATATGGCCACACCGTGCATTTCGAGTAAGGCCAGGTCGGAGACCCAAAACAATGACGGATGACGACGTAGTTAAAAAAAAAAAAAAAAAAACTCAAAGCAGTGCAATTGAACTTTTATACATGAAAGGCAAGGAATGAGCAACTGAAAATACAGATGACTATGTGCTAGGAAGATAGATCGAGAGAAGCAATGAATGCTGCATTTCCTCACATAGTGGGCGATTTTTAGGAGTACGGTGCCAAAACGAGATAAATGATCTTCATTTGTGTTTGCTTACTCAACAGCATGGCATTGATTAGCGGTGAGGTGCTTCTATATACCAAAGCACATGCTTTGTCTTGATTTACTTAAAAGTAGAGACCATTACATGTCTATTATTAGTAAGGTGCATTTTATGCTTATTTAGCCAACTACAAAGGACTACGAGTAAGGCGCTTACTTATACAAATGGGTTTAATTTGTGCTCACTTACTGGACAATTGTCTGTTAGGAGTCAGGCACTCCCTGAGACAAATGCACTTCTTGCACAGAGTACGAAGCATCTTTTGGGAGAAGGGCGCTTATTTCTACAAATGCATTTCCTTTTGGCTCACTTACTCAAGAGCAGAAACCAAGTGTCTATCGGGGGTCAGGTGCTTACTGAGTTGAATGCATCATTTGTGTCCACTCACCTACAACAAGTGTCTATTAAGAGTAAGGCTCTAATTCAGTATAAGATGTGCTCATTTATTGACCCACGGGAGGAAGTTACCTGGTGCCTGTGAGGAGTAAGTCTTTTACATTTGATAACATGATAAACGGTCCATTGCAGTAACCGCTGTGCCAGTAAGAGTTCAATTGAATTTGTGTTAATTTACTGGAACTTACAAAGCCTTTATTGTACACCAAAGTGATTTTTTTTTTTTTATAAAACACATGTAGCCACTGGCCTCTTTGGAGTACGCTGCTTATGTGCCCGGTTGGCTTTGTCTTATTGACTCAAATGCAGAAGGTACAAATCCATGTACGCCTGCCATCTGTAAAGTGTTACAGTGAAAACACATGCCGTTATCTTTCCACTATCTATTTCAGGTGCGGTATCCATTTATCTGGACGCGCGCCTGGCATCCGTCGGTGCTGAACACCCGCTATTTGAGGAAATACAGCGTCAGCGTAACCAGCTGGAGGAGATCAAGGGTGCGTCAGGGCGACCTACCTGGGGTGTAGCTGTGCTCTGTGGCGGGTGTCACGGCCAGGCGAGGAGAGAGAGAGACAGACATTCATTAACATGCATGCCAAGTTGTCGGGTTACCATGGCTACTACTTACTGTACATGCACACCGATCTGGGGTTACCGCGGCAACGCGCATGCAGACGCCACCATTTGATTGGGCCACACACACACACACACACACACACACACACACACACTAACGCACATAGCTGCATTAAAAAAGAAAAAAAAAGCATGTGGACTCACTTCCTCTCACACTTGTGGGTAGAGAGCACCATTGTACACGTTCCTACCTGCAGGTTAGGGTTGGAGAGCCAGTCACCCTCCAAACTTACCTTGAGGCCGCTTCCTTTCCCTCGAGCCCACCCCGAGACAGATAGCATGCGTACACATGGGCTTGCGCATAGACACGCACACACACGCACGCACACACACACACGCACACACACACAAGTGCACACGTGCGCAGACAAATGATGATGTCATTATAATGATGTGAAATTGCAGGAAGGGATGGAGTCGCAGTGCAGGAAGGGGCATGCAAGGTTCAACACTGGCGTGACATTGTGTGCGTGTGTTTATCACTGGAGCATGTGTGGATGTATTTACATGTGTGTTTGTGCCCTTGTGCTAGTAGCGTGGCAGGAACAGGTGGAGCGATTAGCATGCTTACTACGCGCGAGGCCTCAAGGACAAGGCGAGCCGAATTCACTGTGACTTCACCAAAGGGGCGCGCTGGGGTCGGTCAATCATTTGCCGCCACCAGACGTGATTTATTATTATTATTTTTTTAATGACATTGGCAATATCCCAATGTGGTGAAGCCTCGCTATTCGAAAAGCGTCAGTGAGCAAGCTTTCACATGTGGACATTCAATAGTTAATTGCATTTAGCAACCAAAATGTATACTTTCATTTGCAAACTCAGTTTGGTGCTATGATGGCTTTCTCCATCGCAGTATTTCACGCATCTACTCATTCGACACATTTTGCTGCTTTCATCAACTGAGAAAAATTGAACGATGTTCTTATTCAGTGCATTAATAACGTCTCTCTATTTTCAATCGGTAAAAAAGAAAAAAAAAATCTATATTGACCTTTCAGGGCCTGTCAACAGTTTTGTAGATGAATGAAAGTGTTAAGAATATACCGTATTCCTTTATGGTGTTAAAACGTTCGAGTACATCGAAAATCTCAAGTAGACACTGAAGTCATTCACTTGAGTTTCACGTTCGTTGCGAATGACTCTCTCGCCACCTCGTTCAGAGCGACAGGCCAGCGGTTGGCTAATGAGCAAGAAGAACACGTTTGGCAGACGCGCCGCTATCGCGCTGGCATATGCAAATGTGGCCGAGGAGTTCTTGACTGGAGACACGCTACGAGGCGCTCAAAGTAATAATTGAGAGCGTAGTGTAGGCCCATGGCTGATAATTCGGCCATTTCGTTTCCTCTTGGCTCACGGTCGGGAAAAAAAAAAAAAAAAAAAGGAATATGCAGCGAATGAGCATAACAAGCTTTCAAAACAAACCGCACTGGTTGAGACAAATTAAAACTAGAAGAGGACAGAGTGTCACATTCCGAAAGTCGCAGACGTTAGCAACAGAATGCCGTTGTAAGCAGACCGACCTCGTGTCAAAGGCACAAAACATGACGAAATGTCAACCCCCTTGTGGATTGTTGTTAGTATTATATGAATAAAGTGTTGATAGGTTCTGTGTTGCCCGTATGAAAACAAAGCATTCTGGTCAAGTCAAAAAGAAATGTTTGGACTGTGTGACTAATCTCCCTGGCGATTTGCAGACGAACCAAATGACCTTTTCTGCTTATTAGATCTTTATGCACATTTACGGGAGACCCTTCTCTTTGCTCCATTACAGCTGGATTGTGTAACGCTCCGAGACAAGTCTCGGCCAAGATTTCTGGGAAGAACCGTGCCAGCTGGGCCGGAGTTTAACATCAACAACAGATTTCTTCCCGAAAAGGCCAACTCGCAGAGAAAAGGGAAGATTGGGTAACTGGAAACCTTGCTTGTGTAAAATCACCTCAAGGAACGACTCTTTATGCGCTTGTTATCGAACATACCGGGGCTTTGACTGTTTTACATTCATTGCCAAGCGGCGCTTTGACGTTAGCACAGGTCAGTCGGAAATCCACCAACCCCTGCACGTACTAAAATACGGTATTAGCATAATTAAAACTTGCAACGGGAACAATAGCTGTTTTCTCAGTCTAGAGTGCGACAAAGGTTACAAACAAAATGAAACCTCTGAGCATATTGCCGACATAAGGGGATTCTTTCCTCCGCCCGTCCCCACATCCATTTTAAAGGAACGGCCACTATTAAAGCGCTCCTGCTGCGAGGATATCGCTTCCCGGCGGCAACATCAATCGCAATAGAAATGTGAATCCATCTGTATGCAAATAAAAGAGGCCATTAAAAGTAGCCGTTGTACGCCGTACGGTATATATCAGCCTGGGTGTAAAATGTACGTCGACTTGCGTTTTGCCAGAAGAGCCGCACGACTGCTGTGATTAATGCCGGAGCCTTGCGGAACGTGCTAATGTGTTTCTCCGTGGCCGCGCATGCGCACGTTGTCCTGAATGTGTGTGTGTGTGTTTGTGTGTGCAACTGCAGCGATTGCATGTAATTCCCGAGCTTCTGCAGGACCATTGATCAATGCTCGGCCTCCCTCTTGCCTAGAAACGCATAGATGGCACTCAACGCTGCAACTACGCATTCACACCCATTGACTGGCCACCACTGGTTTCTCGGATATCAGTCAGTCAATAAAGCCGCGGACGCCCAGTTCGCAAATAGAAACAACACAAAATAAGATTTAAATTCTTTGAAATAATGAAACCCTCGCCTCACTTCATCTTCACTTGATTTAAAAAAAAAAAAAACACGCCTCACGGCAAATAGTGAAACACAGCGGGCGGTGAAACTAGTCTGATGTAATTATCTTCTTCTAATTGAAAACACCACTTGTTGCAGTCATTCACACAGCATGCGCTCGTCTGTGTGGCATCTGTAAAGCTGAAGATTACATTACATACAGTGTGATGTTATTTTAATTAAGTAGCAATAGTTCTTTGTGAGAAACCTCAAAGTACCTCGGTTCATCTCCACTTAAATAAAACATCTCGCAACAAATAGGGGATAAATCAAAATATCTGTTATTACAGTGGACCACCATATTTTTGTGGGTTCGCCATTCGCGGATTTTTTTTTTTTTTTTGGACAAAGGCGAACATCGATTGCTTTGTCCAAAAAATGTTGTTGACAACAGTAATTCTTCAGGAAAACCTGCTCATCAGTTGTGATTAGAAACAGTTGATAACTTAAGGCAGCAGCAGGACTGACGGGGAATGGGGGGCGGGGGG